CATTCCGATGTCGCACCTGGTAGCCGCGAAAGACTGACTGCACGCGGACTATCGCGGCCGCTGCCAAGCGCCTGTGCCGCACCCGCTGCAGCCAGCGCTGCGCCGCTAGCTGCACACGCTGGCTGCCACAGGCGTCGTGCTCCTCAGAGAGCTCGTCGTGCTCAAGGGAGAGGGGCGCCAGCTGCCCGCGCATGGGCCCGCTGACGGCGGCGAGCCCACCACTCAGTCGCTTCAGCTGGCAAAAAAAGATTTTTGTGAGATGTGCATGCACCCTCCGGGGGTGTGTGCACGCTGGACGAAACGGTGGCGGGGCCGCGGCTGAGAAGAAGGCGGCGGAGGAGGCTCGGGCTGCGGCTGAGAAGAAGGCGGCGGAGGAGGCGCGGGCTGCGGCTGAGAAGAAGGCGGCGGAGGAGGCGCGGGCTGCGGCTGAGAAGAAGGCGGAGGAGGAGGCGCGGGCTGCGGCTGAGAAGAAGGCGGAGCAGGAGGCTCGGGCTGCGGCTGAGAAGAAGGCGGCGGAGGAGGCTCGGGCTGCGGCTGAGAAGAAGGCGGCGGAGGAGGCGCGGGCTGCGGCTGAGAAGAAGGCGGAGGAGGAGGCGCGGGCTGCGGCTGAGAAGAAGGCGGAGGAGGAGGCGCGGGCTGCGGCTGAGAAGAAGGCGGAGCAGGAGGCTCGGGCTGCGGCTGAGAAGAAGGCGGCGGAGGAGGCGCGGGCTGCGGCTGAGAAGAAGGCGGCGGAGGAGGCTCGGGCTGCGGCTGAGAAGAAGGCGGCGGAGGAGGCGCGGGCTGCGGCTGAGAAAGCGGCGGAGGTGGAGGCGCGGGCTGCGGCTGAGAAGAAGGCGGAGGAGGAGGCGCGGGCTGCGGCTGAGAAGAAGGCGGCGGAGGAGGCGCGGGCTGCGGCTGAGAAGAAGGCGGCGGAGGAGGCGCGGGCTGCGGCTGAGAAAGCGGCGGAGGAGGAGGCGCGGGCTGCGGCTGAGAAGAAGGCGGAGGAGGAGGCGCGGGCTGCGGCTGAGAAGAAGGCGGCGGAGGAGGCGCGGGCTGCGGCTGAGAAGAAGGCGGAGGAGGAGGCGCGGGCTGCGGCTGAGAAGAAGGCGGCGGAGGAGGCGCGGGCTGCGGCTGAGAAGAAGGC